CTAGCCAGTCGCTCCTTGGAAACCCTATGCAGGGTTTCTATGGGTCAGAACCAACTGGGCAGCACTTAACAACAACAACAGGTTGGTGGCCTGTTTTGACTTCCACTTCAAAATCAGTCTTGGGCTGATTTTGAGTTTGATTCTGTTTCCCCCTTGTTAAGTCAGAGGAATCAGACATGATTTCCATGTGGTTTTTATACCTACCTTGTTTTCAACTACAAAAACATTTTGGCAAAGAAAAGAAGTCCATGAAGGGCTTACAGAACACCTACATGTTACAATATAACAACATGTAACTCAACAACCTAACTTTTCAAGTGCTTGATATAAATCAAGTTCATGGAATCTGAGTAGGGTGTTAACAGCTCATCACCCTCACTATGATCATCACTACTTATAGCTACCTGTATCAACATGCTACATTTCATTCCTCCTCTCCTTGCCCCGGGGGTCACAATCTTCAATGTATAATATCCCTTTGAGGGGGACAGGGCCTCTCAGATTTCTGAAATACTCTGCTCAAGTCACTTACATCTATGAGGATGTCATGCCATTTCCAACAACTGAATCCCTCTATAATCTCAATTCCAAGTATCCCACTCTTCAAGCAACCCCTACTATTTTTCAAGCTAAAGGAGCTCTGGTAGCGTAGTGGTTACAAATCAGGCTGTGAACCGCAAGGATTGCAGTTCGAAACTACCAGCTGTTCCGCGGGAGAAAGATGAGGCGTTCTGCTCCCATAAAGATTTACAGCCTCGGAAACCCTGTACAGGGTCGCTATGAGTTGGAACCGACTCCATAGCACACAACAACAATACCCCCTTTAGAAGTTTAATATCAACAATCTTTTGAACCAGTGGAATTTAAAATCGAATTATCCTACTATCTTTTCACTCTCCTTAACCCTGAATAATCCTTACTTTTCTCCATAAACCAGTTTCCTGGTGTGGCACTGTGTGTCAATGCGTTAGACTGCAAGGTCAGTTTGAACTGCCAAGTCAGTGGTTCAAGCTCACCAGTTGCTCCTTGGAATTTCTATACAGGGTGGCTTTGCATCAGAACAGATTCAATGGCACTTAACAACCACAACAACAATCACTTCCTTTTATATACTCCCTTAACTTTTCTTGCTTCTCTGATTTTACTATTCTTTTCTGGAAAAACTCTAACCCTGAATTAAATACATTATCTACCTACTTTGTGCCTGCATTTGTGCAGCAAAATGAATGCAGAACCAAAGCAAACTCACTGCCATGGAGTCAATTCAAACTCATAGAGACCCAACAGGATAGAGTAGAACTGCTCCATTGGGTTTCCGAGGCTGTAAATCTTTATGGAGCAGACTGCTTCATCTTTCTCCCGTAGAGCAGCTGGGGGATTCAAACTGTTCAACTTTCTGTTACCAGCCCAATGCTTAACCTACTGTGCCACCAAGGCTCTTTAAATGAACTCAGCAGGTCAAAATTAACTGGTTTCATTTTAAACTTGTGACCACCAAACTCAAGTCCTACTACATTTCCCTAACCCATTCAATATCCTACCCTCCTGTAATAATTATGCATTCCTTCTCTTCTCTACTTAAACCTATCATACCACCTCCCCAATGCTCTCTGCTGATGATTTTACTTAAAATTTTACAACTTCAGATTTTACTTAAAAAATAGAAACAATCAGAAAACAACTTCCACAAGCTCCTGTACTGACATTTATTCACATTATTGCATGTGTCCACCTACTCTACCTTTCCTTCTTTAACTATGGATTAACTAGTTAGGAGGACTAGATTCACTACTCTTTCATATACTCAAGGACATTGCTCTAGCAATTTTTTCAATTTTTCTGTATTACCCATTTTTGCCTCTGACTAATCTACAAAAAAATTACAAGAATAATTTCTCCCATATTTTAAAAAACAACTCAACTTCTAGCTAACTACCCCAGTTCTTGTTCTACCCTTTAAGCAAAACTCTTCAAAACAGAATTCTTAATGTTTCCACTTCCATTCTTTCATTTCTCTTGAACCAGTAGTAACCACTACACTCCAAAAAAGGGGCTCTTGTCAAGGTTACCAATGGCCTTCCTGGTGCCAAATCCTAGAGCCAATCTGCACTCCAAATCTGACTCAATATGTGAGCAACATACGACACCATTAATTATAACCTTTTTGAAACACTTTATTAGGCTTCTGTGACATGCTCTCTCTCTCTTCACTCTTCATCTACAACAGTAAATCCTTTCCCAATATTTTGTGTATGTCCTTTCCCTGACAAATTTCTCTAATAGCATCCCATCTCCTTCAGAGTGAAAGCCTACAAGGGCCTATTCCATAATCTGTGCCTTGCCTTTTTCACTCAAATTTCATCTACTTCTTCTTTTTTTTTTTTTTTTTCACTCCAATCTCACTCTGCTCTAGCTCTCTTTGGCATCCCTGGTTGTTTCTTTGATTACATCACACGTGGTCTCACAGGGTCTTTGCACTCACTTCCTTCAGTTTTTACTCAAAAATTAAGTTCTCAGTAAAGTCTTCTCTAACCATTGTTGTTGTTACATGCCTTTAAGTTGGTTCTGACTCATAGTGACCCTGTATTTGGTTTTTCAAGGAGTGGCTTGTAGATTTGAACCACAGATCTTGTGGTTAGCAGTCTAGTAGTTATCCTACAGCACCACACCAGGGCTCTAACCATATTGCTATTGTGGTGTGTAACATTACAGCTCCTCATCCCCACCCCAGAGTCCTGGTGTGGTGCTGCAGGTTAATGCACTGGACTACAAAGTCAGTTTGAATTACAAGGTTGGGGGTTCAAATTTACCAGCCACTCCTCGGAAACCCTACACAAGGTCACTATGATTCAGAACCCACCCTTAACAACAACAATGCAGTAAGACCTCCAACCTCCAAATAAATTAACATAACAAACTACACAAAAACTGAAGAACTCTGACTTAAAGATTCCTAAATTAGTATCTCGGAGTCCTGGTGTGGCACTGTTGGTTAATGCACTGAACTTCAAAGTCTATTTGAACCTCAATGTTGGTAGTTCGAGCTCACCAGCCGCTCCTTAGAAACCCTATACAAGGTTGCTATGGGTTGGAACCAAATTGATGGCACTTAACAACAACAAATTACTACCTTAAGAATTTTATCTTCTTCAAAAGGTTGTAATATTTTTACACACTCAAACCCATCCAGAAAACTACACAGCCGCAGTCAATTGAAAATTCATTAAGGAGTGAATGATTTGAATTCATGAAACCCAAGAAACAAGTTAATTTTCCCTGGTTTTATTGTATAAATATGGAATAGCTCTATTTCTGCAAAATTAAAAGGCTGTGTCCAAAGGACAGACACCTACAGGTACATAAAAGGCAAGCAGCTGGACAAGCTAAGGACAGAAGGAGAGAGGAAAACACAATTTTTTGACTGGAGGGGAGCTTTGAAAAGGTCTGTAGTAGGTTCATTTTCAAGCAATCTTCCACACACAGCCCAGAGGTCTGCTCCATGGGAATGAGCACCTTGTGTCTGAAAAGCCGGGCAATGTTCTAACCTAGACTGACTCTGTTCTAGAATGAAAACACACCTTCTGCAACAGTAAAATCAAAGAGATTTATTAAAAATCCAAATATAGTCCGGACGGTTAAAACGACCAACTCAGAGTGAAGATGGCAGCTCCACAAGGCAATAAAGCAGGAACCATTTTTATACAGTTCTTATAGCAGAAACAAATGCTACAAAATTATGATTGGCTAAGAATATAGGAAGTTGAAGGCGGGCTATCTGAGAGCAAGGATTTAGCAGGGACTGGTGGACAGCATATATGTAGGATTACCCGATTGGCTAAGGGTACATAATTGCAAAGTACATGCTTTTTAGTTGATTACAAGCTGGTCTCAGGACATACGTTTCTGGGAGCATAAGATTAAAACTGCTTTCTCAAGCATTTCGATTCTTAGGAGTCCACTGTAAAGCAGATTCATTGATAATATTGCCCTTTAAGATCCTTCGGGCAAAGGCTACTACAACCTGCATCTGTCTGACCTTAAAGGAAAACCCGCTGGCAACAGATTATGATATCCTGCATCTGCCTGGCCACAGAGGAAAAAATACTTCCTTAGGATATATAGTCAAGTCAGCACAAGTGTTAAAGAAAAACTGCTGTTAGAAAAGGCACCTTTAAAATTCAACAAACTCATGTCAAGACATGGCAATAGCGTTAAGGCTTGGTTTTTTTTCAGGCTGCCCTATGTACACACACACAAGTACCTCCGATTTTGTATTCTTAGGTAATACTCAAGATCTGGAATTGGGAGAAGAAGGGTTGCGGAAGACACGTTACCCTAAGAAGAGTCGGTTCAATGGGTCTTTTCCTTCAGATGGATAACTGTGGCGTTCAAGACAGCAGGGCCTGGAACTGAGGAATCCAAGCCATACGTCAATTAAACAAACTTAACTCCCGCGCTGCAGAAGCCACGCCAGAGCGTCACTGGCGCACTAAATACGCATCAACACTCAGAGACGGTCATTCTACACTGCTCCCTCAGGCCTCGGCTCCACCCCCAGGTCATCCACTAGTCATGCGCGCAGTGCTTCAGCCCGCCCACCACAATCCAACCAGTACCAGCCCTCTATACGCGGGCACATATACGCAAAGACTCTACGGTGCCGCTGAGCACTTCGGGAATTGTAGTCTCTGTGCGGGTGCCTGTGGGCCGCCACAGTCCTACATCCCCACGGAATCTGGAAATGCCAGAACACTGCCCCAACCCTGGTCCTTATTCCCATCTTCACACCTGTCCTGTCACCGCACACTCACTGTCCATCCCCAAGCGTCAGGGCCCACTACGAGGGAGAACGCAGATCCCTTCTTCCTTCAGCTGGCTGTGCTAGGGGAGGCGGGGTCCACTGCCCGCCCCCTCCCGCGCCTCCCTCTCCACCTCTCCCTCCCCTTCTCGGCGGGTGTCTGGCCGGGCCGGTGCCCGAGTAGAGGCGGCCCCCGCTACGGGCGATGCCCCTGCCCGGCTGCTCCGGCGGGGGGCAGTGCGAGCGGCTGGGGAGAAGGCGGGGGGCGGTGGCTGCGGCGGTTGCAGCAGAGGGGCCGAGAGCTGGCGGCGGCGGTGGTCGTGAAGGGCATCGGCGGCGATGGTGATGGCAGAGCTGATGTGAGTGTCTCCTGGCCGGGAACCCCGGAGCTGCCGAGCCCGAGGCAGGCGGCGTGCGGGAGCGGGCGGCCGGGGCGCGGAGGGATGCGGTGTGCGCGGGGCAGAGCCAGAGACGCCGCCCGCCGCCTCCCTTCAGGCTGAGGCAGGAGCCTGGCGCTGCGGCGCCGCCTTGCGAACCGGGCCCGTCGTGGGGGTCCCGGGCGGCGGCGGCGGCAGCGGCAGCGGCGGCGGGGACAGCACAGGCCGAGGGGCGTCTGTGATTGTTCTCAACACCCCTCCCCCTACCCCGTGTGTCTGTTTGTCACTTGCAGCTGAAGATGGAAAGAGCCAGGCGAAGGGGAGGCGGCGGAGGCCGTGGCCGCGGAGGCAAGAATGTAGGGGGCTCTGGCCTAAGCAAAAGTAGACTCTATCCCCAGGCCCAGCACTCCCATTACCCCCACTACGCGGCTTCAGCCACCCCTAATCAATCTGGAGGCGCAGCCGAAATCCAGGAGCTAGCCTCCAAGCGAGTGGACATCCAGAAAAAGAGGTTTTACCTAGACGTGAAGCAAAGCTCCCGGGGCCGGTTTCTAAAGATAGCCGAAGTCTGGATTGGGAGAGGTCGGCAGGACAACATCAGAAAGAGTAAACTGACTCTCTCCCTGTCGGTGGCAGCGGAGCTGAAGGACTGTCTAGGGGACTTCATCGAGCACTACGCCCACTTGGGCCTGAAAGGCCACAGGCAGGAGCATAGCCACAGCAAAGAGCAAGGCTCCAGGAGAAGACAGAAGCACGCAGCACCTTCCCCACCAGTCTCGGTGGGGTCCGAAGAACATCCTCACAGTGTCCTCAAAACGGACTATATAGAAAGGGACAATAGGAAATACTATCTAGACCTAAAGGAAAATCAGCGAGGTCGCTTCCTAAGGATTAGACAAACCATGATGCGAGGAACTGGCATGATAGGTTATTTTGGCCACAATTTGGGCCAGGAACAGACCATTGTCCTTCCAGCACAAGGAATGATTGAGTTTCGTGATGCCTTGGTTCAACTAATTGAAGACTATGGCGAAGGCGACATAGAAGAACGAAGAGGTGGAGACGATGACCCAGTTGAACTCCCAGAAGGGACTTCTTTCAGAGTGGACAATAAAAGGTTCTACTTTGATGTGGGCTCTAATAAGTATGGCATTTTCCTGAAGGTAAGTGAGGTGAGGCCACCTTACCGTAATACTATTACTGTTCCATTCAAAGCATGGACAAGGTTTGGGGAAAATTTTATCAAGTACGAAGAAGAGATGAGGAAAATTTGCAACAGCCATAAAGAAAAGAGAATGGATGGCAGAAGGGCCAGTGGTGAAGAACAAGAATCCCTCGACTAGAGTGAATTTGAACTCCATCAGGCAAAATTTTAAATCATAAATTGGCTAGAAGTACTGATCCATAATCATTTGAAGAAGTTTTTCCTCTTTTTTTGTCCCTTGGTTATTAGTAATACCTCCAGGGTTTGTACTTCAAGGAGTCTGATTTTCATGTTATGTTATACATAGATCACTCTAATTCTTATGGGAATTTCAACCTTCCCAGAGCTAAATAGTTTAGCAGCTTCAACTGCTCCAGACTATTGAAGTATGCAAATCAGCACAAAATGTGACATTCTGACCTTCTAAATACAGTAAGATATTTAATAATGTAAAGTAATGTAAGATTTACATTGCACTAGGACATAATCCTGAGAAAAGATACATACTTAGTATTGGAAGTGTGAATTTCAATTTCACAAGTTCCCAAAAAAGAATTCCATTCTTTATTGAAAACTGCTAAGCTTAACTGTAGGACAGTTACCACAGAAACAGAAATTAACCTTAAGCATCATATCAATATGTTTATTTATAAAACTGAAAGTAGAAATATCTTAATTGTCCATTGGATAACTGAATATTAAACAGTACTATAAAATTATCAAACTTACTAGCTAATTAAACCTTAAAAATAGTGTTGCCATATTTCTTAAGAGTTACTATAATATTCTATAATTTCTAATTTTGTGGTAATCCTACAGTTTATAATTGTCATATCAAAGCCATGGGACAGTTTTAATTGGTCATTACTAGTTACAAGTCCGCCTTCACCTTTGCTTATTGTACCTTAAATTTTTACTATAACATCCCAAAGTTTCAGGAATTACTTTTACGTCACTGCTAAATAGGAAGCTTCATCCTATGACTTTGCTATGGAAATTTTGGTGTCTTCATTTTTGTGCAAACTTGGAAGTTGTGAGAGTTTTTATTCCAGAGCGTGTCATGGACTCAAGGTGTTAAAAGTTTCTTCTTTGTGACTGTTTTAGAGGGGTTGGTGCACCAGTGAATTGATAAAAACATGCATCTATAAAAATACATTTTAGTAGTATTTTTGCAATTGTTACCCTTAAAACCACATCTACATTTCCAGAATAAACCTGATTTTAAGTAGGTGTTTTAATTCCAGGGGGAAAAATTTTTTTTTTCTTTAAAAATATCTAGAAGACAAATTTTTGGTCTATGAAAAATACTGTTTGAAGTTTGGTTATAAATATTTGAAAGGAAAATTCAGGCATTTTCCAAGGTGCTCTTTCTAATATGTAAAGAGGTTTACTTTACATAACACTCACCAATTTACCTTTTCAGGAAGTGCCACAGCAATTTTTCAACACCTAAGCAATTTTTTTAAACAAGTGGATATACTTGTATGTATACCAACCCACCTTGTGTTAATGGAATGAAATTTCATCTGTTGACCTACATTTTATTCTGAATGAAAAGTAATTGTCTTTTATCTCAGCTTCATTCATCTCCTATACAGTAAGTCCCTATTATCATTTTGGAAGGTGTCCTGGTGGCGCAGTGGTTAAGGCACTCCGCTGCAACACCACAAGACGCTCCTTAAGAAAAAGATGTGACAGTCTGCTTCTGTAAAGGTATAGAGCCTGGGAAACTATATAGGGCAATTCTAGTTCTACTCTGCCCTAAAAGGCCCTAGGAGTCGGAATCTACTTGATGACATTGGGTTTGATTTTATGGGTTCTCATGTTTAATAGCCAGGCACTGATTTCAACCCCCCAAATATAGCTATCATTGATCAGAGTTGGCTACATGGACTAAGATCAGAATGTAGCTTTTCTTGCTTGTCTGCTAACCAAATAGGTCAGCAGTTCAAACCTACCAGCAGCTCCATGAGAAAAGATGTGGCAGTCTGTTTCCCATTAAGATTGAAAACCAAACCAAACTCATTGCCATTAAGTCTATTCTGACTCACCCCGACCCTATAGGAAAGAATAGAAATGCCCCGTAGGGTTTCCAAGGCTGTCTTTTTTACAGCCAAGGGAGAAGGATGAGGCATTCTACTTTGATAAAGTCTGGAAACCCTATGGAACAATTTTACTCTGTCCTATAGGGTCCCTATGAATTAGAATCAACTTGACGGCAATGCATTTATGGGTTAAATAATTCAAAATTGTTTTAACAATATCTTTCCTCCAGAGGTTTATTCCTAAATACATTTAAATAAGATCAATTTTTAAAAGCCCATATGGTATGAATTAAGAAAATTAACTTCGTTGGTTTATGTTACATAAGAACAATCAGTAATCCTAACTGCTGGTGTTGGAGTAGATTGTATTTCACATTTCTTCACATAGTATGAAGGAATCTCATCAGTTCATTGTAATTGTGGACCATCTGGATCACTATGGAACAACTGAAGGTTAAAAGACAATGTTAGTACTAGAGTTAATAGCACATGGTGGGTGTTGAGACTCTAAAAATAGCAAGGATTTTTAAGCAGTCCCAACTGTAAAATAACTATGTAGGCTTGCTTTAAAAAAAAAAACAAAAACAGTCATTTTGGGTATATGAAGGAGTGGTGTGCACTTGAATTACTGTACTACTGAATGTTATTGCTACCCATCATAGTGCCTACTAACAACATCAGACTGTCAGATTTTGGCAAACTGGAACTATGATTATTCCAGTATTTGATTGTTCCTACCATTATTCCTATAATTGTATACTCTTTCTTAAAACCTTCCTTTCTAAAATATTTGTAATCATTAGGTTTCAATGATTTCTTTTGGGGTTTTTAGTCTGAAAAGACTTGAGTGTGTGATATATATATATGCATATGTGTGTACACACACACGTCATTGTTGTTAGGTATTGTGGAGTCAGTTATAACTCTTGTACAACAAAACACTGCCCAGTCATGCACCATCCTCACAATCATTGCTGTGTTTAAGCCCATTGTCACAACCACTGTGTCAATCCATCTCATTGAGGATCATGTATACACGTATATACTATGTCAGACTTAAAGATAGCTATCTTTAATTTGTTGTATATAAATACTTAATTTTTCATTGATTATTTAAGTAAACAATTAGTCAAATAGCCAAATTTTCTACCTTATATGTATACTTCAAAAATTTTACCATCTCAAAGCTGCAGATTGAATAGATGCATATAGACCAGGAACTGAATATACTCTAAAATCAGTAAGCCATCTACCAGTTTTTTTCTTTCGTTTTCCATAGTTCATGTATTATTCATTGAAAAAAAAATGAGACGATGCTATGATTTTTTGATACTTAAAATTCCCAAGAATTCATTAGCCATAATCTAATAAATAAGATCCAGTTCAAAATGCTGGTATTAGGACATGCAATGCCATGTATCTTATAAAATAAGCTACTGTTCTTATCTGTGCAATATACATTTTATTTATTGTCATTTGTAACATATTGAAGCTGCAAGTGTACATGATATTCTTCAAAGTGATAGGATCCCTGCCTTGATGATGTTAAACTCTTAAGGCTACTGTATGTTAGAAGTAAAAAGATGAGCATTAAAGTTAGTAACCAAAATTACTAGTTCACTGTATAATTCTAAAACACTGATGATGTTTGCACATAATAGTCCATGCATAATGTGGTACAGACTCAAAACTTTAACGATATAAGCTAATAGTATAAAATTTGGAAACGGGTTCCTTGTAATAGTTGGCAGTATGCTCCTAGCAATTACAAGCAGCACTAATCTGTTGCTTATATGCAAAAGATGCAATGTATTATAAAAGTATTAAAGTTCTGCCACATTTTATAATTTTTCTTGTTAAACCCCCAAACTGCCATGTCCCTTAAACTTGAGTCAAACACAAGCTTATTTGCACTAAAGAGCATGGCCAAAAAATAAATGACAGGGTGGAAAAGCTAGTTGGAACCTCTTGAAGTAATTGGTTCTAATGTGAGAATTTCACATTTGTCTATTTGAAAGCTATATGGTCCAGGCAGACAATCTGTCAGTTCACTAATTTAATAATGCACTTTACCTTTTGTATATAACAGATGTACATTTATGCCACTTGACAGGTGGGATGTGTTTCAGTAACTATGTAGTTAGAAACTATAGATTGATCTCTTGCATGCGTGTTTGTATTGGAACTGTTGTAGTAACAGGATTCCATTAAATTGGTGTAATGGAGAAGGGTACAAGATGCATTTGGAATAAATTCCAGTACGTTTAACAAAAACTTAACAGTAGAGTTCAGATGTGTACTCTTAAAGAACTAGAATCAATAAAAAAAAAACATTTCTAGCCAGATTAGCATTGCAGTTGAGACTATATATATAGTTGAGACTCCCAGGAACACCCTGAAAGTTAATTTTGGGAATTTGTTCAGAGAAAAATTTTAATGACTCCATTTCATGATTGTGTATTTAAGTAATAAATGAAAAGATAAGATGTGATACTATACTGGAAATAAAAGTATGGTCAGCTGATAAGGCCTTATTAAGAAAATACCCAGACTACAGAAATAAAGTATCAAGTTAAAGAAATGGAAAGAGCTTAAGAACAATTGCTAAAATAAATATATTATTTCAAAATTACAGACATACTGACCTTCACCAACTGAAAAGGGTTTGGGGGATTTAGTGTATCCTTCAATCCTAAAAACTTCCCAAGATGTACATTTGAAAACTACGTAATTGTTGTTTAATAGGGTGTACATTAAGAAACACTGTGTACTAATAACAGTTCATCAAAAGTGTGCTATATTTACTGCAATCATTTTATATTTGTGGATAAGAATACATTATATATACTCATGTTACTTTAATATAGTCATGTATTTATATTGTAATTTTACAAAGATTTTCAGTAAAATAAAC